CATACTTTGAGGCATCCTCGTAATAACCTTATATTATTTAATCATTTTGACAATGTTGTGTATAGTTACATCGTAGACTGACACGGCTGCTACCAACTTGCAACTGGACTATTGTTTGAGAAAACACCTATCTCAAGCGCATACGTACATCCAAAACCATCGAAATTGACCTCTTTCAGTAGTTTTTGTTGTTGAAAAAATACATTTTATAATATCAAATTTCACGAGAACTCATGGAGGGTGTGTTAATTGAGTGGCAATATATCCAGGGTTTTTGAAAATTCACAAACAAACCAGAATAATGTTGTTACAAACGTAGCACACTAGTGTCCTTGTAAAATTGACCTCTTGCCAAAATAGACAATGTACCGATCTATGTTGTTGTAGCAACAATGGGCTGAGGCTATTGAGCTCGGCGATTCGAAAATTGTTCAATGTATTTTGGTCAAATGTAGTGCGCCCTCATTTCTATGGTGTTCAAGAATTGACAGTGTTATATTTTGGACGAATCTTGGTTTATTGACAACTTCGGAAGAACGTGCTAGTGAGGCGATAAAGCGACCAAACTTCGATTCTTTCATTTTTCTCTAAAATACTTCGGTATTATCGCAATTTATCAACAAGAACAAGATGAACCACAATCGTATATTTGTATCATTGCCCTGTCAATTTTACTTCGGATCCTTCCTTCTTGAATATCTCTGTCCATTTTGAAGGCATTGAAAACATACAAAGATTGTCTCATGCAGTGGTATGCTGTATTGCGAAAAAAAAATTTTGTTTTGTTCATGTTTTCTTACTAAAGTGTATTGTTTTATTAGAATATTATGTTGTTATTGTAACACAATTATATAAATGTATAAACTATAATATTTCTGTTTCTAGTTTGTCATTATTGTTATTGTTCAATAAGTATTGGTATGTATAGGCGCACATTTGATACACCTATAAGGCCGCTACGCACGCACCTGCTAACCTGCTAAGGGAGTCAGGAATCTACATTACTCAAGTTCTTCACTAGAATAATTCAGTATGGCACCTACTTTGTCCACAATACCTATTGCAGTTGGGCAACAATATTATCACGTATTTTCGTCGAATTCAAGTCAATTTTATTATTCTATCTATCTAACGTTACAACCATTTTTTCGAACTGTTCATCTTCCCTTTTCGACTTTCGGCCAAGCTTTTGGACTTCCAACATAGCTTCTCGAAATTTGCAGCTATTTTTTTGACTTTCCGCCCAACATTTTCAACTTTTCAGCTAACAATTCTTCCTTGTAGGTTTCCGAATTTCAAGCTAGTACTGCAATTTTGCAACTATTTTCGACTTCCCGCTCAACGTTTTCTACTTTTTTTGCTTTGCTAACCAATTTTTGCAGCCTTCAATCAAACTTAGTGACATTTCAACCTATTTTCACGACACGTAATATTCAGAATTTGTTTTTGATTTTCCATGAAACAGTTTCAACTTCCAAACTAACCTCTGCATCTTTGCAATCATTTCTCGACTTTCTGCCCAACTTTCTAACCCTGTTTGACATTATTGTTTGGAGGAAATGAGCCTGTTAACCACGCATTACCTTTTACTTTATATTTCACCATACTTTACATGCTGTATAATATGTTATTCATAAATATGCCTTTTTGATAAACACTGCTAAAGACGTTCCAGGGTTCACAAAATATACGTATAGTGTTGTTGTATTGACTTTTGTTTGTTCCCTAGTAAGTCTCACTGCGATATAGATAATTCGTTGCTAGGTTTCATTGTGAGACTACTATTTTAAAATGTTGGAATATGACTCATACTATTATTCAAAATATAAATGCTTTTCAAGTTTAAATTTGCATATAGAGTGTAATAGAGTGTAGATATGCGAGCTGTTTCTAAAGACACGCACTGTACTTTTCGTTGCACTTGTCAACAGAGGGCGCTGTAAGAAAAAAACATGGACAGAAGGTGGATACTGTCGTATGGTTAAATCGGGTAATATGAGCACGTGTGTCCCAACCATAATCATATATCTACTCCGAATTCCCAGCTAGTACCGTGCAATGTCATATTTTTCCACAACTTGTCAGAGAAACGCAGGCTAATATATTTTACACGAACGAGGACGTTATCACGTGACAGTTTCCCCTTGACCCTCGTTTCATGAGTTCTGAGTGGATGAGTCGACTCTTGTGTTCTGCTAAATGTAGCAGGCGAACGACTCTTTTGTTGTTGTTGCTGTCGTCGTCGTTATCGTTATGTTCGTTCCGCTGGAGTAGGATGACAAATTGTGCGACATCGTTACTCCAGTGTCAATAACAATAGCACCTGCCAGTCACAGCGCCGTATATCCTGGTAATATTGGTATAAACAGCTGACGACGTCGTCCATTCATTCGTGTGGAACCGATACACACCTGATAGAATCAGGAGTTGTTTTTTTCTGAGCATCAGCATTGTTTTTTAACTCTCTTTTAGCTGTAACTTATGCTGGATCGCCATTCCTAAATAGGCACACTAGGTATGGGAATGCACAGTGCATTTTTTTTTTAATCTATTTCATGGTTTGTTTATTTACTATAATTGTTGTATTTATGTGGTATAACAACAATAACTTGGTATTTATTTGTTTTGTTTTTATTATTTATTTATCGATAATTCGCTGACCTTGATGTCATTCTGAATTGAGACAGTGATTTATTTATTTCATAATGTGTGCCATGGAAAAACGTGTTATGATTAAAATCAATCAATTGCAGTGAATCGTATCTTTACTAGTAACATCTGTTCGGGTGAAAACAAAACACTTCACTCACAGTTCGTCACTGTATGTGTACTTTCAACGATGTGAACTGTGTGTTTATGTTTTAACGCTCTGTTCTTGGCTTCTTGGCATTTCAGAAGCTGTCGGATTATCAGCACATTAACCCAGGGAATTAACTGCCCCCAGGTGTATGAGCTCAACTTAACAGGTAATGTAATGTACTGTTGTTGTAATTGTGGTAGTGTGGCATTCAACCGTGATCACAAAGGAAGGCATTCTAATCTTAAAGGGGAACCGCTCAATCCCATGGATTGCACCAAAGAATCATGGGACACTATTGTTTATGTTGTTTACAATGTTAATCTATCTTTTGTTATCCCTTGTTATTTTAATCCAGAAAGTAAATTTGTTGTGAAATTAATCTTAACTGGAAGGTGCCCCTTTAACAGATGTTATCTTTACTTTTCTGTGTTGTCAGTTATTTTTGAGTGCATATTACTATACAGACTACTGTTTTAATTGTATCACCAGTTTAACAAAATTACAGCAGCCAAAAAAAAAACACCATCCTGAAAAAATATCTACCTCAACACTACCTGTAAGTGAAGAAAAACAACTTACCGGGGTAATGTTTTTTATTATGTCCCCTCCCAAATTTCAACCCCCTAGATAATCAGTTTGCATTCATTTCTCATGAAAAGTTATATTTAACCTCAAAATTAAATTACACATTTTTGATCTCAATTTTTAAAAGGTTGGTGCTTTTATTTAATTGAAAGCAAATATTTACTTTATTCATTCATGCCATGATATAACAATAATATTAACTAGTGTCAGTTTGTTGTTGCCATGTGATCACAGCTGTTTAAATTTAAATGTCACGGGTCTAGAAATTGTACTAAATGTTGTATCAATAAAAATTTGTCTATCTTAAGATGACACAGGTGTGCAATGTGTTATAATTGACATGGGTTTAATGCAACAGAAAAATGTATCTGAATAGTTGATTTTCTGTTCATTTCGAGTTTTCATTTATTATGTGAAAGGCGCCAATTGAACGTTTGCCACAAAAACGTTGAAGAGGGTATTATTGTATTGAGATACCCTTACTTCATCAAAACTAACTGTATTCCAATGTTATAATATATTACCAAGTGTGAAAATACCCCAAAACGCTATGGATCTTACATTGAACAGAAAATGGTCTATTATTTGTTTATTCAAAAAACTCTAAATCTACTTTATGCTGACTGTGACTTGAAGTAACAGATCGTCATAGTGATTTTCTTCTGGTCACACAAATTTTTACAGGATTCATTAAAGCTGATATAGATTCAGCAAACACACTGACAATAGTTAATTAAAATGTAGTGCCTTCATATACTACAAGTTCTTGAATTGACTGTTTTCTTGTGCCTTGGGCATGTACACATAATAGCTGTCATATCAAGTGAGTGATTAATGCTATACTCCAACTTTATAAATATCTACCTTGAAGCAGTGTTATTGTAACAAGCAGTAAGCATAGCCACAACAGCACAAATATCTAACAAATTCACAGACTTGATTCATTCATTACCACTGACGTACCAGTTTAGTACGTCATACATACATATATAAGTTTGGTCCATGCATAACGTTCAGCTAGCTTCAAGCAGTCTTAAAACTAGCTTACCCTGCTTAAAATGTCATTAGCGTAAAATACTTTATTTTTGCTTGGAATTAATTTTTGCTATTTTCATTGAAGGAATATGTCAGTGAAAATAAAATCCAGCGAATATACCTTTTTTCCTATATTTTACATTCAACTCGTCAAAAATCAGTGAAAATAAATTTAAAAAAAACACCCAAAAAGTCTTTTCAGCATTATTTAAATCATGCAAATTAATTTGCCTAAATATGTCTCATATCAGTAACACAGGTAAATTATTCGAGGAGTAAGTTAAAATTATCGATGTCAGTGATACTCATTTTAAAAATTATCAGTTTTATGAAAAGGCAAAGCCACCTGAAGCCAGTATGGATGTTACACTCGAATTGTACAGTAATTATTTTTATCAAGGATTTATGAAATGAAGGCGTGCAAGAGATGTGATATGCATTTAAGATCTTGTGAGAAATGCATTGAAAAATTGTGAGATAATCACAAAATGGCATGACAAACATACATTTCTGAAAAATACTCGGGCAATTTAGTGTCTTTACTTATTTGTTGAGTATGTCTTATGCATGGACATGATGACAGTCTCACTCACTCACTCACTCACTCACTCA